TCAACTACCCATTTGTTCTCTGCAGCATGCTCGGTAAAGAATGATTCGGATGGAAATGATTCCTTGGAGCCACTGAGTCACGGCCCCTTTTGATAACCTTAAACAGCAGTTGCCAGAGAGGTGACGTCCTTGAGCTCCTGACGTAGCACTCTCTGCCTCATTCTCCTGTAGCCACAAGACATGTTCTCTTCATCACTACAGTAGACTACATGTTTACTGCCAGTGTTATAACCTAACAAAACTGACTTAGCGGCCATTTACACAACTTGTGCTCTTGCATTCAAAAACAGCTAAATGGAACACAATAAAATCGAATATAATGCAATAGTCTTGTGGGATATTTTTAAAAGTCAAACTGTTTTTCACTCGATATGTTTTAGATTGCTGAAATTGGGTTGGATATGTGGGGTTTTGGGAGAGAGGGTGTTTACCAAAATGACAGAACAGTCAGTAAAATTACTGAAATTGTTTGTAGCACCTTTAAGATATAAAAGCACAATAGTTAATGGGGTCATAGGATGCTACATGCACTTTTACAAGTTGTTTGAACTGAAATGTGTGTTGGCAGTGTGTGTGTACACAACCACCCTATAATGATAAAAATCCACCCAGTGTTTTTTTTTAAATCTGGTTAAATGTTTTCCCCTTTCTCAAATCGAGCCGATCTCAGATGCCTGTCTGTGTGACGTCACACAGACAGGCATCTGAGATCGGCTCGATTTGAGAAAGGGGAAAACATTTAACCAGATTTAAAAAAAAACACTGGGTGGATTTTTATCATTATAGGGTGGTTGTGTACACACACTGCCAACACACATTTCAGTTCAAACAACTTGTAAAAGTGCATGTAGCATCCTATGGCCTCTTTAAAGAACCTTTGACTGAATGATTCTTTGTGGAACCAAAAATGGTTCTTCAGTGGCATCGCTGTGAAGAACCTTTTAAGCACCTTTGTTTTTAAGAGTGTAAAACACAATGCAATGAAGTGCAAAATTCAAAAGTACAACATGTTCCTGGAACAACATTCCAATCAGCCAATCAGAATTGAGGGATAGCTTTTGAGGAAATGTCTGTTTTAGGCTTACGACCAGAGTTAGGTGCTTCTACTCCCTTGTTAATCAGCTATCATTTCCCTCTGATTTTAGGAATAAATTATGGGTAGGGTTAGGTTTAGGGGTAGGGACTGGGTTAAGTCTATATTTTTGGACAGTTATGTTGATCCAGGAACATGTCTTACTTGGCAAAATCCCGGCGAATACCCGTAAAAAATAAAATAAATAAATAAAAATTGATGCGGAAATTCCTTGATATTAGTACATTGTGCCTTATTTTTACTTTTTTTTTTTTACAGTGCAGTACTGAATCACATGCTGGAACCTCCATATATACTGTACATTCCCCCGCTAGGTTTTCATGCTCCAATGTCAAACCTTCCGAGGTGTTTATGTGTCTGTGGTCCATGAGTGACCACAGATGGTTGCGGTGCCACAGACCGAGCGAGCGCAGTCACTGCTCATGTCTCTGGAGAAGCTGCAGCTCCACCATCTGTCTCTCAGAAGACAGTCAGGAGCTCCAGAGTCTCTACAGCAGAGCATGTGATGAAGAGCAACACTTACCTGCACAAACACATCCGCCTGCTTTCTCCATTTGTCAATGCAATGCATTTCAGCTTCCTAGACTTTTCACTGGAAAACAGACAATGAACACAATCTGCTTACGTTCTGTCACTGTTGCACAAATCCATCAAGGCGTTTTTAACTCAAATACATTGAGTTTATAATCCATAATAACGCTTCCTCCAGTGAAAAAGTGTTCTGGTGTGAATCAGGAGAGAAATCTGCACAGATCAAGCAGCGTTTAAACAGCTCTAAACTAATATGTGGCTGGATTTTGATGTGAGAGACAACAGAAGATGCACTTTTTGCATCTTTTTTGGATTATAGACTCAGTGTATTTTAGTTAAAAAGGTCTTAATGCTTTTGTTTCAGCTTTTGTCTTTTCCAGATGTTCACTGATGGACTGGAGTGCTGTGGATTACTTGTGGATTATTGTGATGTTTTTATCAGCTGTTTGGACTCTCATTCTGACGCCACCCATTCACTGCAGAGCATCCATTGCTGAGACACTAATGCAATGCTGCATTTCTACAAACCTGACGAAGAAACAAACTCATCCTGATCTCGGATGAACTGAGGGTGAGCACATTTTCAAGTCTTTATTTTTGGCTGAACTATTCCTTTAACATATCACACACATATTAAACATTATGAATTATAAAAACAAGTGAGTGAGCAAATGAGTAAAATCTAAGTTTATTTAATTTTAGAAAAAGCAGCAAAAACTCTCTTACATATACAGTATCCATCAACAAGCCTTTCAATGAGGCAAAACCAAATCATATTCATACAGAGTAAAGTATGAGGAAAGATTTAAAGAAGCAACATGATTCAGAGCGAGACATGTCCATCAGTACCCTGTTAGACAGACGATTAATATATATTGACAAATGATCATTCATTATTACAGCGCTGTGGATCCGCTGTGAAGCTTCTGTTACAGGAAAAGCAACAGATAATGTCTGAGTTCATCATTTAATGCTTAACAAATAAACTGAAAAAAAGCAGTAAAAGCAATGAAAAAATAAATATAATCAAATATATTTATCAGGATTTATAAATCATTTTGCAAATGGACCATACTTACAGGAACTGAGCTATAGTAAGAGAAACATTATTATATAGAAATAAGAAATAGCATGCAAACTTCCTGTTTACAGATTACAATCACAGGAAGTTAAACTTTCAGCTCATCTCATATTTCTGGAAAACAACAAAACCATTTTAATATCGATGTATTTCATTTATCGGTGGCCTGACATGTCAACTTCTGACTCAGCCAATGACATGATTTTGGGGGCGGGACTATCTGTGTGACTGACCAATAGGAGAGTGTGCTCAGAAAACCAGTACTTTTGCTAGTTTAATGAGGTTTAAAGCCGAAGAAAACTACATATGGATTTAATATGTAAGGTTTTTATCAAATTTGTTGGAAATGAGGACTAGACAATCCACTGTCACATAAACAACGCTTTGAAATGGTCAAACATGGAGGGATGAAGGTGACAAAAGTACATTCAGAACTGTGCACGAGCAAAAGAAAAAGTCCCGAAAAGAAAGTTTCATTGAAAGAAATACCACAAGCTGCAGATGATCTTTTTACAATTTATTCTATATGCTATATACACTAAAATAACACTATTCAGGCTGAGAGAAAGATTACTGTCAGATAAAAGCCGTTGCCACACTGATACCACATTGCTCTTAAAGGTGCTGCAAGCAATAGTTTTAACAGAATAATACATAATGTATAAAATCTCACTACAACCTGACAGATATCAGTGAAACATGTCCTATGAGAAGTCACAGAACTAGACTGCTAATCAGAAACACTCTCTACCTGTCAATCATATCTTTGGAGGGCGGGGTTTAGAGATTTAAAGAAATGTGCAGATCGGCTGAAATCCCTTCCAGCACCTTTAAGATCTGACAGCAGATCCTCTCAGATGGCACAAGAGTTTCACACTGCAACCTGATCTCGTGTTTAAAATGTAAGAACTTGTGACTCTTCTGAGGCACAAGTTTTTTCTTGAATTCTTGAGATTACAAAGTATTCAAAAATGTTTTATTTACACTAAGAAAGACACTGGGAATACGGTTAGTTAAAGTTTAATTTGGCACAGAGATTAAATGTTTTCAGAAACCCTCTTAAATCAGCCACAGTGATCATTGCTACTGCTGGTTATGGCTGCGAAATAGACACAATAAACTGCCATAAAGCACTGCTGTACATGACATAGATAGATAGATAGATACCCTTGCCTCTGCCTAGCAACACTCTAACAACCACCTAAAACACCCAAGTAATTACCTAAGAAAACCCTAGCAACGCCCTAGTAACTGCATAGCAACAACCTAGAACATCTTAGAAACTGCCAAGCAAAACCCTAGCAACTGCATAGCAACAACCTAGAAGATCCTAGCAACTGCCAAGCAAAACAGTAGCAACTGCGTAGCAACACTCTAGCAACCACCTAAAACAACCTAGCTACTGCCCAGAAAATTTTATGTTACTTTTGACTGCCTAGGAACATCCTTGCAACTGCATAGCAACACTCTAGGAACCACCCAGAATACCCTAACAACTGCCTAGCAACACCCTAGCAACAAAAAATAGTTGAAAGCAGCAATTTAAGGTTCAATTAGTGATGTTAATTTTGACTGCCTTGCAACACTCTAGCAACCACCTAGAAAAACCTAGCAACTGCATAGCAACCTAGAATATCCTAGCAACACCCTAACAACTGCATAGCAACTTCTATCTATCTATCTATCTATCATCTATCTATCTATCTATCTATCTCAGACAGCATGGCCTTAAAACCTTCAAATTCCAAGTTTTTAAACTTCAGTCATAAAATCGTTAAACTTCAAGCTATTAAAGCCATTTCAATCTGAATGGCCAGGCTTTCTACACCCAACATAATTATGAATATCAAGTTACAGCAAAATTGTTTACCAGGTATTTGTGCTGCAATGCAAGTGTTTAGTGATTTATCGTCTCACACATTAACCAGGAAATCAGGATGCAAATAATTCATTTAAGTAATCATATTTTTTGAAAGCTCCAGTCGCTGTTTCATGAATGCGAAAATGATTACATTCACTGATCACATTATACAGGTTAATACGTGTAACGTTACTTATTCATAAAAGAGTCTGTAACAAAATAACACCCTCAGTATTTGTGTTCGAGTACCTGGGTGCGCATCTAAATCATCCGTCGACTTGTGTCGAGTTATACTCGCGTCGTAGAGTGTCCATGCGGGAGGCCCGTGCTGCTCGGAGTGCTGTTCCCGAATGCATTGAACGGGTTGAGATACGATGGCGGCAAGTCGGGGAAAGAGCGAGGAATCATTGTGATGGTGTTCGCCGTTATCAGCGATATGTCGTCGGGCGAACGGCGCATCGCTAGCGCGTAATCCAAAGGACCGGTCAGCTGAATCATATCGTGGCCTTGCAGCGAATCGCAATCGTGATCGTGGCCGAGCTGCATCAATACTTCGCTCGGCACACGGGGGACATCATTCGCGAGATTTCTTGGCAGACTGTGCCTGCGACTCGACTCTAGCCGGTGTTTGTCCTTCTTGTAGTAGAGTGCTGCGAACGCCAGGATGTTTAAGAAGAGCAAAGACGCGCCGACGGCGATCGTCACGCTCAGCTCGGTCGAATAATCTCGCGCTTCGATGATAACCGTCCCATCGCCGTGCTTGGATGTCTTCTGCTGATCCGACATCTGTTTGGTGTTGGCCGGAGGAGCGGGCGGATGGCGGGTGGTCGATGGCAAGAGTTTGTTGGACAGGCGTTTGGTGTAGGAGAACGGCGTCGTGTCCTGTGGTGGGATTTTGGTTGTCGATGAAACATACTGGAAGAGTTCGTTGATGTTGTGTAAATGCGGCACTAACTCCAGCCAGAAGGCGATCTTGGTGGCTCTGTAGTGGTCGCGGACGCGAGGCTTCAGGCCGATGTGCAGGTACAGCTGGTCTTTAGGGTTGTATTTAGACCAGGCCACCTCCTCAAAGCGGTTTGGTTTAGTGTGGATGAACTTTGTGTCTTGAGGAACCGGCTGATTCGGGTCTCTGTGCAGTAAAACAAAACGTGTTAAATTAGTAACATCTGTACAGTAGTTAATGCTTCAATTTGCATTTTTTTAAATCATTCTTGTCAAATACTAAAATGTCGATCTAATCAGATTCACAAATAAAAAACTCAATGCAGCAATTAAAGGATTAGTTAGCAACTCTAGCAACAAAAATTGCTGAAATCAGCAATTGAAAGGTCAATTAGTGATGTTACTTTTGATTGCCTAGCAACAACCTAGCAACTACATAGCAACACTCTAGCAACCACCCAGAATACTCTAGCAACTGCCTAACACCCTTGCAAAAAAAAAAAAAAAAAAAAAAAAAAAAAAAAAA